CAACGATACACTTATCACTTACGGTTTGTCAAAATCGCAAATTATTACGTGCTGCAAGCATGAGCCATAAACCAAAATTGGGGAGCGCAAGATTTACACAACAGGAATTCGTACTGATGTTGAGCTCGGCTAATTTGAATTAACTTTAAAGATATTGTTAGTCTCGGCTGCATCTGCAATCGTTAATACTCACCAATCCGCAATGGGTCAGCGTGGTTGGACATGGCCCATGCTCCCTATTCCAGTTTATTAGATTTCAAACGAGGCAGATGTGAGCCCTATGTTTCCACACATTAATAGGCTGGTGATGCTGTAGTCAGACATAAAAATAAAACTATTCATACCAATTCCACACCGTTTAGCGCAATCCAAAGTCCTAACGTTTTTATACGTAACACCATTGGAACCACAAACAGGGTTGGAATCGTGGTCGTCAGGACGTTTCTTCATGCAGACGTCATGCGGTATTCTGCTGCTTGTCAGTATTATATTTGATGGTGTGGTAACTGTATCTTTGATGGTTGTAATTGTGGATGTTGCATGGGGTAATGGTCTGTGCGAGCAATATTCAATATGTAATTTTTTTTAAATATCTTAAGTAGGTTTTTGATAATGTTTTCATTCACAATATACCATATTGAAAATTATGTAAAAATTACCAATAAAATTCATCCATCTCAAATTATAAGTTTTTTTATAAAGTTCTAATGAGCAGCCTAGAGAAGTCTCCGACACAGTTTTTTTCTGTAATATAATATTAATGGAAGACCTCCACAGGTTATGTATAGTTCGACGACGGGTGAAAACTTTTATTTCTACATTGACTGGTCATTATAAGAAAAGAAGTTTCTCTATTGTCGGGTCTAGAATGTAGTATCTTGCTTGACTCAGATACTCTGTAATACCAGAACTTTAACTTATCTTGGAATCTGAGCAATTAATATTTTATTGATTAAAATTTTATATTATTTTTATGAATACAAAAAATAGTTTATTTGTTTTATAATGTCACACTTACTTTGGATTTCCAATATCTTCTGACCCTTTGTTTTCCCCTGAAACCCCTAACGCTGGCCAATTACAAAACCCACGATGCGGAATATGAAAGTCATTATGAGGAGGTTTGTAATAATAAGGTCCATGGGTCACACGGTAGGTTACATGTGGTCCATGAAAAGGAAATGAACCACGATAACCATAGTATTGGATAGGTTTAAAACCATAGTGAAAATCATTGTGGTATCCATAACATGATGACGCTGAACTTAACACAGCTGAAAAAGAAAATTATATTTCAAATCGACAATTGTATTAATAAATAACATTCTTCACTAATATTATACAGATGTGAAGTTTTTTAATTTGCTTATTACAAAAAAGCTAATCATCAACATTATCGGAAATACTTATCGGATGATCAAATTACGTGAAGTTACATCATACATAGACGAGTGATATATCTGTTTAAAAAATTAAAAATTTAAGACTTGTAAACTTATCATAATAACTTTTAAAATATATTCGAAAGCATATTATGTACATATTATTAAACATTTAACTTTGTTATAGTATTAAAAAAAACAAAGAAACCTTGAACATTGAGTATAAGTTATCAGCAAACAATAATTCACTGTAATATTTTCCTTAAACTTAATTAAATTACAGTAACAACAAAAAATATAATTAAATAAAACCACTTACCAAAAATTAGAGTTAGAGTCCAATAATCACACATTATATACAATCGGTTCACTTAACTAATACACTTTATTGACTATTGATTTTTGCGTCTGCCTCGGCTGCTTTATACACACAAAATGTTAAATTAAGTTTCTGTAAGATAGCAACGTTATTGTTAAATAAATATCACTCCCCCCGCCCATCTCTTTCCAGGAAAACCCGATCTTAACTCAATTCAGACAGATATTAATTAACTTCAAATTGTATTAACAGTCCGATTGAAATTACATTAATACTGACATTTTGCTTTCAATCGCCTGATAAAATTTTTATTGTACTTACGTATTTTGGAGACAAACATATTTGTAACACCAGATCAAAAAACTTTCTGTTGTCTTTTTGCAGTACTATGTTTAAGGATGATAGTATACATTAATTATAAAGGAGATTTTCAAAGCTATACATTCATTAATTATAAAAGCTTTTTGTACTTAGTTAACTGAATTCTGCAATACAGCTTAATTAATTTATAGTTCTACAACTTTTAATGAGATTTGTTATGAACTTGACGTTTGTTTATGCAAAATAATAATAAAAAGTCGAGTAGAACTCTGTACTCCTTGAGTTATAGTTGCACTGATGGTCGATTTCGTTCGCGAAGGTAATTTGCAGTCACCGACCTGTTAAGACGAGGGTATTCCCACCACTACCGGTTGAAATTGCATGTACGATTAATTCCTACGATACAATTGTGTCCTCCAATGTTGCTTTATGATTCGCCTGTGAGTCATTCGACTCGTTTTTTTCATAAGAGTCATCAACATAATTGAGTAGCATTAACAAGAAGTGCGAGAATGTTTAACAGGAATTGAATAGTTTTTTTTTCTTATACTACTTAAATCGAGACTATACCTCATCACTAGTTAATTAATATCACCACGGCTGGGACACAGGCCTTCCTTATAGATGGAATTAAGTAGGGGAAATAGGCCATGGACAACCGCGCGGACCCAGTGCCGTTGGTGGGATGGGACTGTTGGGACAACGGCTTAACGAGCTTTCCGAGAAGGAGGAGGAGGTCGAAATGATAAATGTTTGGTTACTCATTCTATGACCAACTAAAAGTTGGTGAAATTTGCTTACTTCCACGTAGTAGACCATCGAGCATCTCGAGGCGATATAAATCTTGATAGTTATATAAACGTTAAACTTAGTATTAAACGGTGTTGAATACATAATAGTATGACGTGATTTCTTATGAACTTGCTATTGCCCGCGACTTCGTACGCGTGGTACAATTACTTTGGTTAGCATTTACAATAAGACTTAAATAACTATTTATTAATTATATCGCGTTTAATACCTGAAAATAAAGTTTCATAGTCTTAGCTTAGATAACGAACTTCCATACAAAACTTTATTCCCTATTTTAACCCTTTTATCACAAAAAGGACATACCTATCTCAAGACCACTAGGCATAATGGCATGACATAATCGGTTTTTTCGTGAATAATAGAAACATGACACGGTCTATGCACAACGTTTTTTTCTAACAAAAATGGTATTTCTATAATAAATAGTCGATTGTTCTTCACAAACAAGCTCCTAAGCATCAAAGTAGGCGTATTGATTGTTGTAAAATATGAAGGATATTATCTCTTATTGACGTATTTCTTTTCTTTAAAAGTAGGTGTCAAATACAAAAATTATTGATAACCTTAGAGAACAACAAACTTTTACGAAAATCAAAAGATATGATATCAGTCATTTCAAACGTTAAAAAGTTTTTAAAACATGACTTCATTAGACTATGATGACAATTAATAGATGACAAAAAGACCTTTAGTGTATCGATTAATATGCCATAATATCTAAATAATGCGCAAATAAATGTGTGTTTTAACTGATGACTGAGAAATTTATTAACAGTGTTGGTAGGTACGTAACAGGACGTTGACAAAACAGGACTAAAAAATTCTGATCTGATTAATTACAATTGTTCGGTGCTCAGTCCAAAAATAAGCTACCGCCCCAAGGGTACCAATTTTCAATAACAAAACAAGAACAACAAGTGAATGCACAAATGCTTTTACCAATAACTAGAATTCTAAATTCTCATACCACCATTTACACAAAACTATAGCGCCATCTATTAGAGACTAATTGAAACAAAAATCCATAGTAACATTTTATACTTTATTAACTTTATTAACACTAGAAAATGCGTTACGCAAACCCGCTAGGGGGAGTGCGGGGAAGGCGCGTTATGTGGACCCACCCCAGATTGGGACTAATCAAATAACAGGGATATACCCACTTAAACCTATGTCCCTCTTCATGGAAGCGATGCAATCATAGTTCAAACCTAACCTAACCTAACAACCACGACGATTGACGACTAGAAAATAAATATAAATAAATATTTATTCATCTTAAATATTACATAAACATAATGAATTAGTTATATTTGATTACTGCATATATATATTATAACTATTAATATCTGATAAATATTTTACTGTCTATCTCGTAATCTTCATGGCAGACCCCTTGCGGTGTAAGCAGAAGACCGAGGTCCACAAAGCAGAATTTGGACATTTCTTTAGCATTCACTAAGCACCATCATCATCGGCCTATTAATATCCTTATATATTTTACTGTCTATCTCGTAATCTTCATGGCAGACCCCTTGCGGTGTAAGCAGAAGACCGAGGTCCACAAAGCAGAATTTGGACATTTCTTTAGCATTCACTAAGCACCATCATCATCGGCCTATTAATATCCTTACAGGGCATAGGCGTTCGCCATGGATGGAATCAAATCGAATTGAATAGGTAGAATGAGCCATAACATAGGCTCTTGGTGGGCAATTGGTGGGTGTTAATGACGCAGATTCAGCTTGGAGTAATTTAAAGTCTTCCGAAGCACAGAGGAATTCGAGTTTTAAATTTTTGGCCCTTCCTATGGCTGGTCTTGTAGAAGTTACTTAACCTTCACGCTGACCAAATGTAATAACCATTGCATTATCAAACTTCAAGTACAATGTAAATACACTAAATCTTTACCTACCTATGTAAAGTATTACTAAGAGTTCTCATATCCTAGAATTATCGTTGACAATGGAAAAGCTCATTTAATATATATTATAATATAATCGAGCATAGAATCAATTTATTATTTAATTAAGCGAGGATATATGAGTAAGTATATTTAAGCATTTATCAAATGTTTTGTTGAAAACAACACAAAAAATAACTCGTGTAAAAACGGTTGCGCTATTTCTGTTACAAAAATATAAAATAAAATACAAAACATTTTTCCACATTTTATTTATCATCCATGTATTTGTAACTTACATTATTTGTTTGTCTTTAAAAAAATCTACAAGGAAATTATCTACTAAAATGGCAGTTAAAACAATTAAAATTCTTTTTTTAAATAGCAATGTTAAAGTTAGGAAAAGATCTCATTTAAAATTGAATGCTGTTCCATTTTAAACTAATTAGCATTCGGCCACAAACAATCAATTCCGTTTTTCGCGGTCGAAAAAATGCTCACATACTCCTAATTCGATGAGTATTTTCTTAAATATTGTGTCGGATGAAAGACGGAATTTAGTATATATATTCAAAAAAATATGTGATTTTTATGGCAATTTGTCATGAAACACTATGTTTTCTTACATTTAGACTAGACTTATAAATTTAAAAATTAGTCGGTGCAGCGGTGGTAGAACTAGGACAGGGCGCCACTCTCAGTAGATTTACATCTGTAGACAAAGAAAAATAAAAAATAAATAACATACATAATTTCATATAGACGATATTTCCGTAGCCGAATGGTTCGCATGTCGGTTTCAAGGTGTCGCAATCGACAATCGAAATTGGACTTTTCTGTATTGTCCCGATCCTGGAATATGAGCAATGTGTGTGACGTCTCGATATTTAATTTACAAATAAATACTTTAATATTTGTACAAATATTCCAGGTCTTTAGATGAATTGTCTGTAGTGCTATTCAGTTATAAAAACAGCGCTATCACACCATAGACGTTCAATCAAATAAAACATATTTCTAAAGATAATAAAGGTTTTATTTTGGTTTAGGTTTTATTTACGTTAAACATAATGCTGACATTGATATATTTAATTGTAATAGAAACTTGATTATTAATCGAATTAGAAAACTTTTACCATCATGTAATGATTAATTTGTTTTAAGATATAGTTCACTTCGTCTGATTAATTTTAGTGTAATAATTTTTTATTTTAATTTGATTAGTGATCATTAATTTCTTTTATGGAAATCGTAATTACAATTCTTAATACTATTTAATTATATTCCAAATACTTAATTTTTGAAAATTGTAAAGTTAAATTGTTAAATAACATGTTTAGTTATTATAAAAGACACATGTTGTTGGTTTATGATCAGAATCGAATAACTTGTTAATACTATTTGTAATGAAATTGATTGTAATCTGTTATGTGTCGTAAATAAATAAATTTCATTGAAGCTCTTAATTGTCACGCTAGTGCGACGTTGTTTTTTAGCAGAATATCATTGATAAAAATACCCTCACTAGAAGAAAAATGTTCAGTGGGTTAAGCGAGCTCCCGGATTGCGAAAGATTGGATGGGTTTCGAATCTCATCTCATCATATCCCGCACCTGGAACTTATGACTATTTTAAGTATTTGTCTATAAGATAAATTCATTAAATGATTCTTTTCTATAGGTACTAATATTATAAAAGGGAAATATTTGACCGATTGTTTGCATCGAATAGGCTCAAAACTACTGGACCGATTTCAAATTTCTTTCTCCTACGCAAAGCTACATAGGCGTGTGACTAAGGCCACAATTTACGCGATCGAAGTCGCTGGAAAAATATCTAATCCTATTAGTATTATAAATGTGAAAGTTTCTTTGTTTGGATGTTTGTCGGTCAATCACGCCGAAACTAATGAATGGATTTTGATGAAATTTGGTACACAGATAGGGTATTAGCTGACTTAGATAATAGGATACTTTTATCCCACTAACCATTTCCCTAGGGACTACGCGGGCGAAGCCGCTAGTGAAAGCTCGCTGATTATAATTCTAAATATATTCCTACGAATCTCGTATGTAATTCAAACCTTCAGGTTCTGAATTTTATATCGGACCAAAGTCTAACAAATCAATCGAGCCCGAATTCGATGGGTTCGCTTCGTTTAATAACATAGATCCGATGACTTCTTTCCGGCACCATTATCAGATCAGCTTTATTTCATATTAACATTATATTGTCATCTAACTAATATATGTGTAAGGGATGGAAATGAAAGCGCACAGGTGCCGTAAATCAAGATGGCGAACTTCATCAACGTAGGTTCGCTCATGATGGTTTATTGCAATAAACTGACCATAGAGGTCGTGAGATCACTATGCTCCTCGAACACGGTTCATTTTATTTTTGTACCTTCCTAAAAAAATGCTTCAGAATAGAAAAAGAAAAATATCGGTTAAAGTTAACATGGTTAATTTTAAGTTAAAAAAAAACATATTTTTATATTATGCAACGAGTCATCTACAACAATCGAAAAGTGGGAATTAACAAACACAGCGGGTTAATAAAATATTGTCATAAATAGTTTCCCCCAAGATGTCGGGTTTTTACATAAGCAAGCAAATTTTTACAAAACAAGACTAAAAGTGCACAGCAAAAAGTATGTTTTTTCTATGACCTTGAACGTTACAATGCTATGGGAAGGAACTTTTTTGGAACCAAATATTTACACAGAGCTCTGAAATAAAGCAAAAGCTAGTTTTACGTATACTATTTATTAATAATGATTTACGCAATTTAACTCATTTACCGGAATACGACTCATATTTTTGTTGACCCTAATGTATGCCTTCTTCACGTCACTATTTCTTAAAATGTGTAACGCGGAGTCAGTTGGTTTGTTTTATTGTGAATGTACCAATGTTAATTACATTCAAAACTAGCTTTCGCCAGCGATTTCGCCCGCGTGGTATCTAGGCAAATGTTTATAATATAACACAAAACTCTTTATTTAATTTAATGGGAATAAAAGTATTATATTATCGAAGTCAACTAATCTGTATACCTAATTTCATCAAAATCCGTCAGTAGTTTCGGCGAGATTGACTGACAAACATCCAAACAAAGAAACTTTTACATTTATAATATTAATGAGATAGTATATCGTCCAAGTACGAGACGAGACGATATTTTTAAAGTAACTATATAAATATATATTCTGTAAATATTTCAATCGTTTACCTATAAATCAGGTTTGTTGTAGGGGAGTCCCCTTAAATATTTATTTTATTCTGATCTATAGTATTTATTGTTGAAGCGGCAACAGAAATACATTATCTGTGAAAATTTTAACTGTCTAACTTTCACGGTTCATGAGATGCAGCCTTATAACAGAAGGACAGACAGACTGCGAAGTCTTGGTTTCCGTTCCGTTGAACACCAACATATCGGTCATTTTGTTTCTTTAAAAAAAATCATTTAAATATTTATTCAGTAGTCACGTCATTAAAAATTCAGGTACATTTAGACCATTCGGCAGTGACTCGTTTGTTCTACGAATTTTGTTTTTTATTATGACGTAAACGTCAATTATACTAAAATTATGACTAGATATAAAAACCCCCACAAAGAACGTTTGTCTAATAAGAAGCTATACTTATATGAAACGTAATTCATTAGATTTATTTTTTGACTAACAAAGTATGGCTTTAGTGATTTATTTATTTATTACTCTATGAGTAACATATAGCACATAATCTTACCAATAGTTTGATATAATAAGATAAAATTTCTATAGTGATTAGTGATAGATTCGATTATTTTTCTTATATTAAAATATTCACAAGCATTATAAGAGATACGTTTTCCATTTAATAACGCAATATCATAGAAGATATAACTTAAATAGATAGTAGATTTTTATGTAAGAGGCTAAATTGACCCTTTATCATACTATAATGGGTCATTTTAGCCCCACGCTTAACAATCTACTAGATTATAAAGATTCGATTTTTTTTTTCTCATATTAAAATATTCATAAGCAGTATTAGAGATATGTTTTCCACTTAATAACGCAATATCATAATAAACATAACTTAAATGGATAGTAGATTTTTATGCAAGAGGCTAAAATGACCCTTTATCTTTATTATGGGTCATTTTAGCCCCATGTTTAACAATCTACTAGATTATTAAGATAGATAGTTTTCATAAAAACCAACAGTTTCGAATAAGAAAAAAATATATTATCTCATATAGTATTAAAATTTTCAATCTTTACGTACGCATTCTGCCGGATCACCGGGATTCCACTTTTAGTTCGATTTTCAAAAACACAATGTTCTTTTTTTGAAACAGTAATAAGTCGAGTCTTTACTTAAGACTATTTTTCCTTTCTGTAGGTTAGGCATCGATAAAAAAAATAACTTTCTTCTAGAGCGAGAATGTTATTTTAGCTACGCTTTATTACGGTTAAGACGATTGTTTTGAGCAAGAGATGTAAAAAAATGTACATATATATATATATATAGTAATTCATGACTTATATACTCACTGACGCCACAAGCCTGAGCACAGTTAAGCCTGCCTGGATTAGGGTATACCACGTTATCTGTGCCGCACACTGGATTGTATTCCGGGGTCACTGGGCAATTGCTCAGACAGGTCGCCAGATTTCTGTAATTTCCAATTAATGAATATTTAAATTGAAATTTTTAGGGGTTTTACCATGAGCATGACACGGGGAAACACCAGAGGCAGAGGCAGAGGCAGATCCCCGATGACTTGGGTTGACAACATTGCACGCACATGCCAGTTCAAATTGGATGAAAGTGGCAAGAGATAGACAGGAGTGGAGAATTTTGGAGGATGTCTATATCCGAGGAAGTATTTCGTAAAAGGCTGTAACGATGATGATGAATATTGAAATGCCGAACAAAAATATTGCTCAGATGTATTAGTGCGAGTTTCAAAACAGGTATATATATATGAAAAAATATCCCCGTGTACAACATTAGCTAAATAACTTGTATAATAATAATATTAAATTTTGATTAATAAGTTTAATGACAATGTAAATCAATTTTTGTACCACTATCCCCTTTCTAAAATCAATTTTACCAATCCTTAAAAAATGCAATACGTACGCGTTGTTCGGTTGGTTTTGACCAGGCTGATTTTGTCCAGGCTGATTTTGTCCAGGCTGATTTTGTCCAGGCTGATTTTGCCCAGGCTGATTTTGTCCAGGCTGATTCTGTCCAGGGAACTGGTTTTGCCCTGGGAACTGATTCTGACCGGGGAATTGGTTTTGCCCTGGGAACTGATTCTGACCGGGGAACTGGTTTTGTCCTGGGAACTGATTCTGACCGGGGAACTGATTTTGGCCAGGAAATTGGTTCTGTCCTGGCAACTGATTTTGACCGGGAAACTGATTCATGCCAGGGAACCGATTCGGTCTTGGAAAAGGACGCCTTTGGAAATTATCCGGAGAACCATACCGGTCTTCGAGATTGTCTTCGTCATCACTAGTCTGTCTTTTGTATCTGTAGGCCATTCCTAAGGCACTTTGAGCAACCAGAGCTGAAAAAACCATAAACATTTATTAATCAATAATTTTAGCCTATTTAGAAGATTATATGTCAAAAAATATATAAATAATAAAGTAAAGGGTTGTAATGCGTTAAAATTAAATACAGAATACGTAAAAACTTTGGAATCCTTTCTATGAAAATGCGCATAAGGAAAAGAATGTAAATGTTTACATGAAGTAATAAGCAGAATGCTTACATATTTTTACATGTAAAGACTAAAATAGTCCGCCTTTGTACGTTAGTACATATGTTAATAATTAAAAAATACATAGCATTAATATATAATACATTATATACACCATATACAACACAACACAAATATATTTTTTTCTCTATACCACCTACTATGCATTTGATATTTTTAGGCGACTTCAAAATCGAAAAGAAGGAGGTTATATGTTCGACAGCGATGTATGTTTTTTTTTTCATGTATGTTCAACGATGTTTTCGCTAATTGTTGGCCCATTTTAAATTCTTTTTTTTTTATTTGACAGTTTAATGGAACGAAGTGAACTCACATAAATTTTATAACAAAACAAAATATGCTTTTCACCAAAACATTTAGATTATGTATTTATATCAGCGGAGAAAATAAAAGTTTGTGTATTTTGCAGTCATTCAAATTCATATAGGAGGAATTTCTGTATTCCACGAGTAAAAAACAATCACCTGAGGCCATGGCTTCAGGTGAATTTTGAATTGAATTGAATTTTTAAATCGGTCCAGTATTTCGGATTTTAATCAATGCAAACAAACAAACGATCAAAGCTATCCTCTTTATAATATTAGTATAATCATGTATTGGAAAAATTATGACGAACAAATGAACAGAATCGCCTTTCCTAAGTCTTTCACTTCGTTGCCATATTAAGTATATATTTTAGTGTTAGCTACATGAAAAAACAATATCTTTCGTTCTTTTCGTCAAGAACTAGAGTTGACTTCAAACTTTAAATAAGTGGGAAATACTAATAAATTTTATTGTTGACTAAATATCAAACAAAAGAAGCCAATGAGAATAAAAGGTTTAATGATATTAGTAGGTACTTTGTGGTTCGATTTCCACCGCTTGGTAGCCAACTAGTAAAGAATTAAGATTTATACGTTATTTAAGTTAATGCGAAACAAATTGAATGATTAAATTATAAACAGTTAATGAAATGAAAATATATAGGAATTATTTAGCCAATACAAATATATACATTATGATAACAGGATACATATTTTAAAAAAGAAACAAAGGAATATATGTTTGGAGGGCCGACCAGGACTCTTATTACAATTTAATTGTTAATAATATAACCACATAACTTTATAATTCTTTTGATGTTATCAATACTTTACGGCTTAGAAATAGAATATTATACTACGGTTGTATATACAGATAAATACTTTAACATTAGTCCATTTGAAATTTAAATGAGAAATCAATATTGACTTTGAAGAAACCAATTTGGGAATTCCGTGACGGCAATATTGATTATATACTTTCCTGTTGTCGTATTAAATGACACTAAGATTTTATAATAATTATCATAAACAAATTACCAAATCATATGAAGACATAACAGTGAGAATTCATGAAATATAACAATTAAAAGTTCAAAGTCAAGTTTAAATTAGTAGGCAGCAAGAAACATGTACAAAACCTGATTTTTCTAGGACTTATCTTGCTTAAATGACAAAGGTATCAGAATAATAAATGCTGGCCACTAATACCACTACTGCCATTAGTTAGTTGTTCGTTATTGTATTAAAACCTTCGATCAAATGTTAAAATTACTTATGAATAAAACAGATTTAAATAAAATCTTCGAAAACATAATTCGGTATAATAAAGTAAGCAATATTCAAGATAACATTTGTTTGTTCAAGTTACGATCGTATTAGGTGACTTTAGAATGTCATCAACAGGTCATTACCGCAATAGATTCGGTTTAATCGTCAATTTAAATAATCGGTGATGTTTTTTTTTTATCTACAGACGTTCTAATATACAGTCAAAACATAGAATTGTATATTTAGTAACATACTCGTATTATTATTTAAACAACATAAAGTTTTACTAACAAATAATATAAGAATGTTATTCATTTTTTGAACCTTGATGAGGAATTATCAAAAATAGTTTATTTAAGGTAAAAAAAATCTGTTAACATACTCACTTATTACGAAAAGTGTGAATAGTTTCTCCATGTTTGCAGAATTCCTAATTAGTTAACCGGTTTCTCTTAAACGTATATCAACTGTCAAGTCGCGTCACCAACTGCCTACTTGTGCTCCGTTCTACCAGTTTTATGACTTTTAACTCCAACGAATCCAGCCGGTTGCTCTTAAGTTGTCAACTGATAGTGATGTGGTAACATTTTCGCTCGTTCTCGGTGTTTTTGTTTTGTTTTCCGGCTTTAATGTTTTGTGTGTATTTTTTGTTATTAAATGAAGGTCGTAATTTAGTTATTAGTTGATATGTCTACTTTTAGATGGAAAAACGCTGTAGTAATTCCGCATTTTGATATAATTAAGATGAAAGGTTTTTTATGACGATATATGATAATAGTTTATTTCCAAATAATATCGTTTTCGATAGTGTTTACCTACGTCTATAAATCTAAATCATGATACCTACGTTTAAACGCTGCAACTGCTCTTACCGGGTTTTGCTGTCAGACAAAAGAGATTAAGTGTAATAGGTTTTGGTTGTTTCTTTTTTGTACACTACCATATTACTTACTTCTTACTCACATTTACAAAAAGTATCCAAAGACTTAAGATTAAAAGATTAATAATAAAACAATTTGTAATGTATAAAATTCAGTCTGAACCTGTTTTATAGTACGCCAACTATCTTTTAGATATCTATCATCTCTAGACCAGCGTTACTTAAAATGTTCAACGAAACCCTGCAAAGCACATATTTGGATTTCAAGTACATATTAGTTATATTTCAGAAAGCGATTAGAATTAAAGTAAAATATGAATATATTTCAATATAAGAAAAATGAACACAAAAATACCATGTAGTTTTACTTTTATTTTGGGGCTCTGTGGAAATGATTCCATTGTCAAAAATTTTTGAGTATCGCTGGTTTACATAAAATACTATCAGGATTGAGGGTTAAAAATCTTGAATACCTTTTCAATTTTTATGTAATAAGGTAAGTAGCATCACGTTATTATATGAAAAGAAACTACATTGTCAAATTTCCCCACTTGATTTTAAACCTTGCTAAATTTAAGGTAGAGGTCAAAATACATTGCAGAAATTTAACATATTGTGGTAACTTAACTTACAGCCACGTGTACACTTTGTATCAACTAACGTTTGTTGTTATTACTTCTTGAAACTGACTTCAATAATAAAAAGATAACATACATAAACACAAAAATAATGAAATACAAAGGCGGTTGATCTATCCAAAAACTGAATTCCAAACGTCAGCGAATAAACATTTGCTTACGACATACGTTTACAAAAAAATATGATAATTTAATGATTTTTTTATGGGAATTTCTCGATAGAAATATCAGAACTGGAACATTATATATTCAGTCGAATTCCTCCTTTTTATTAAGTTGATTAAAAAATATCGTATGTTATTGTCGATATCTACAACCCTCTCTATTTGTTATACAGAAAAGAGGAATGACTTGTCCGTAAAATCCCATCTGTTTATTTTTCTCTCGTATTTAAGTCGAATCGAACTTGGTGATCAGGCCATTCCCATTTCAATAAATAAGGAAAATTGTGAGCAATTTATTAGCCAATTAAATATAATTAGCTTTTTAATTAACTATCCCTGCTTCAAAATTTTATCACAATAGCCCAACGTTTTATATAAACAAAATATTGGTACATATAAACATATCGATAGTTGATTTTTTTTTAATTTTGCACGCACGGCCACACATCACGCTACCCACCACCACCGTAAGCAGACCTCTGTTAGTATAGAAAGTCCACAATGTGCTCTCTTTCACGTGCAGACGTGTGTACAAAGATAAAGTTGATGTTGGAGAAGGACATAGGTTACCGTTTATCGCCAAAAAGAGTTCTAAAGTGGTTGAAATTTACATAAAAATGAATCACTTAAATGTATGTACGCGTATAACTAATTCTAATTGCAATCTATTATAAAGCACATTTAAAATGTGTTACGATTTTTCGTACTCCCCGCCGCTACTAGGTGTTCCAGCATCTGAGCTCTGCACTAGGCACTGAGCGATGTACTTTCCTTAATTCTTCAATATACCGATATATCAAGCTTTAGAAAGCTCTTGCACATATTTGTCATAATTCACTGTCTATAAAGAGATTGTCCCCCACAGTTACCGTCACCGAGAACGTTTCTTTACTCCTAACGGCATCACATCCGCGGCCGTGAAGTCATCCCCCAAATGGTTTGGTACTAAGTTCTAATTATAATATGTTGTAATCACCATATTTTATTTTTCATACCTGTTACGTCAGCGTACCATTCATAAATGAATAGATAAATATTCATTTCAAAACACATTTTTGTACATACTAAATAAGATTAGGAACTATATGAAGCATAACTCGAATTAAAAGATTAAAATTACCCATCTGCAGGTGTTATACAAAAAAAAAACAATAATTTTTAAATCAACATTCGCCTGTATAAAAAAGGAAATATAATTTATTGAACATTCAAAGACACAATTAAACAATAGTCAATATTCAGTTAGTACCCCTGTGTTTTGTGGATTGAGTAATACAAAAGAAAGAAAAATAACAATAATTATAATAAATTATGAAGTCGATGAAAAGGTAACAAAAATTTACGTGTTATATGTAAATCCTAATTTATACGTAATATTTGTCCGACTCTCTAATTATTTATTCTACAAATAATATTTTATTTCATCATTGTTGATAAATTCCAAAAATTTAAATTAATTTTAACGGATATTGAATGACTGACTTTAAAACATGGTTAAAACAGTCATTACAATAAAGTGACATGGCATTTTATATTTAAGCTTAAAAAGACAAATAGTACCCAGAATTTGCTACAAACAATGCTTATGTTTAGTTAATTGACTATAATACTAAATGAACTGAAATTTTACGTAAAAGTTTCATTTTCCTAGTTGACATGGGGCAGGATGAGTCGGCGACACGTCTGAAACAAACAATTTGTGAATTTTCACTAACTTAGAATAAGGCATAAGACTAACTAGAAAACGCGTAAGATTATTTTAATTCCAAATAAACATTTTCTCCGCATTGCATCCGCATAACGCATGCCTTAATTTCGTTCTGTGGTTCATAGTAATTGGTAAAATGTATTGTATTTTCACCTTATACAATTTATAAATGTTTAGGTGACAGATTTCGACGACTCCTAATTTTAGTGAAAACGGACATTAGGATCATGTCAGCAAAGTGTGCACAGAGCTATTAATTTACCTCAACCTTTTTTTAAAACTAGGGGCGCCATCCCCACCCCCCATACCTCCTCGGACACATGACGTAACGCTCGAGTGTCCTTAATAATTTATCAATCTGTCTCACATTCCTTCTTTCTGTCGTTTTCTATTTTCAATTAATTTAAACACAACGTTAGCACTCTTGTCTCATTTTGGTCACATGGCCACACTGCCAAACTAACCGCTGTCCAATTGAGCTCCTTTCTAGTACTCATCTTTAAATAACAAATAATAAGTACTATTCGTACGAGATAACATGACAATTCAAGGGCTCTACATATCTGCGAAAACTAAATGTCTATTATTGAAATGCTAATACGACTCCAAATAAATGCATGTTTCGATAATTTATAATGTAACGGAAGTAGTACTTAACACTGCCTCTGATGCACTGACAATCTTCATGGATATAATTGTAACGATATTATGAGAGCGAAATTTAACTTTCGAAATTTCTGTTTGATGACAAATAGAATAGGCCCTCAAGTGTTATGTTAATCGTACGAGTTATAGGTAACTGACCAACACCACAGTACTGAGCACAAGTCAGATGACCAATGTTGTTGTACTGCACCCCGTTACTGCCACACATGGGGTTATACTCTTTTGTCCTGGGACATTCTCGTATACACTGCTCTACATCTATTATACTGTTGCTCTTCCTGAAACAATGATGAATAAAATCAAATTATGCGCACTTTTTACTCTTTTGTTTACTGAATTAAATAAAAACTAATAGTAGAAGTAATAAAACCCTATTGATTGAATTTCGACAATTTGTTATCCAGTTGTCGGAATGGTCATCCGTGTAGTACTTGTTACTATCTAGGGCATGTAGTCTCGACAGAACTTGCGTTCGCTATTTAACCGAATTCGGTCGGTAAATCATAGCGATTTGTTATTCGTTTTATTATCACAAAGTGCAAAGTTGTTACATAAGTTTACAGATCATGTGTTGCCTTGCCTTGCAAGGGAGTAGCAATTTTTAGTAGCTTTAATTTAAAAATATTGATTAGCGATTAAATTACCTACATTAGAATTAAATTTATAAATGCATTAGGTACCCTAAAAAATATAATTATATTTTCTGTTGAAATAGACTTTAAATTAAACGGGTAATTATTAATGTAACTTTTTTACTTCCTATATTATTTGAGACCGTGAAACTGATATTTCTTCCATTTTATTAAATTATAGTTTTAAAGTTTATAGTTTTAAGCACCAAAATCTAGCGTATAATATTTTTTTTTACTAGCATTTCTTTAAAGTATTTCACGAATTTAATTTAATTACTTAGTTTCATAAAATTTATGACAGCTGGTAAGTTGGCTATATGAATCGCTATCATTGTAAAGACTGCATACCCAGCTTTCAAAGCCACATAATCATATAAAGTGACAGACAGCCTAAAAACACCCAACATTCCTTAAATCAACCTTTCTTTAGACTTAAGACCATAATACCACTACCCAAGGACGCACCCACCCTACGAAAAATGTTTGTTGGACCCACCTATCCATAAATAATAGTTCTTTATTGAAGCGGAAAATTTTGTCCACTCATATGATCATTTTATGTCCCATGTCACACATATGTAACTTGTCACCTTTTTGGTATGTGTTAGTATTAATTACTTAAACATGTGATCTGAATAATGTTATTAATATTGCTGTCAATTCAGTATCCCACTGTCTTAAAAAATATAATTTTAGTTTTGTAATATTTCAATGCGTAATAATATGTAATCAAAGAAGTATTTATACCTCTTTATATTATACTAGCTGTGCCCGCGACTTCGTCCGCGTGTAGTGACTTTCGGCATCATCTTTCAATTTCACAGGTTACGTACTTACAAAGAGTAAAACGACAACACTATTACTAAAACTTGGCTGTCTTTCTGTCACCAGGCTGTATCGTATGAACCATTAGAAAATAGTTCTTGTAATACAGAATTAGACGGTTGAATTTATTACAGATAATGTACTTCTGTTGCCGCTTCAACAACAATAAAATAAAATAAATATTAAAGGGGAATACAACAAACGTTAACACCATAAGAATAAACGTTATTTTTTTGTTCGTTTTCGCGCACGTTACGGTACGGAACCCTTCGTGCACGAGTTGACTCGCATTTGGCCGGTTTTAAGGCTAATTATTCTGCAAATAAATTACTGTTCCAACAATTTTAGTAGACCAAAATAATCAAAGCTTACAATTTTCGGACTTGTGAACATAAGCAAAGAAGAATATAAAAAGTATAATTCTTACTTAAAAATATATTTTTTTGTTACATATAAGTATAGTCGTAAGTCAAACAAACAAACACATTAGTTTTAAAAACACGGTAGCGTCATCTATTAAAAACAGCTAATTGTAGCATGTTATTATTTCGCCAGATCCAGATTAACAATTCCCCATGAAACAATGTTATTGAAAGCATTATTAAAAACAAAAACTACTTTGTTTGATAAAAATCGGAAAATAATAGACTACATACATAACAAAAATCAAAATTTTGTTTTAAAAGTACAACAGCGTCATTTAGTGATCAATAGAGGCAGCCAAATGTAACATTATATTTTTTCGCGCTATTAATAATTTTCCATTAAATTATGTTATTGGATATACCGCAAAATTAAAAACGAAAGCTACTTTGTTTGACAAAAATCGGAAAAATAAAGACAACATACATAATAGAAATCAAAATCCCATTTTTGAAGTACAGTAACATATCTTGTACTCAATAGAATTAATATTAGCGACAAAGTTTGTACCGATTCAATCCTGTGTAAACAGCTTAAATCATTAATAATGGATTTGGAAAAGGATTACATGGAATATAATTAAAATGACAAATTGAATTGTAAACAGTGGTTACCATGGTAACGATTTAATGCCCTGTACGAACTTCCATTGCCATTTTCATCCCTTTATGTGCTTTTTCTGGGATAAGATTTAATAAAGACATATGCTGCCGTGGACTCCTATAAGTCATAGCGTGATGTTATATAGCCGTCCTCGATAAATGGACTATTCAATAAATCAATTCTTTCTAGTTGTTCCTGAGATTTTTAGGTTCAATCAAACAAACTCTTCAGATTTATTATTAGTATAGGTTAAGTTTACTTCTGCTTCAGTTATTACCCAGTTTAACAGGAGATTAAAACTTAATCAGTTTACCTACATATAATTTGTGCAATAAAAACGCTACCTATATAATCACAAAGATCCGTTAAGGTAAAATAACGTCTTTAAGTTCTAATGAATGTCATAAATTTAATAATTTGCATCGGTAATGTCGCTATAAACTAATCATATTTTTTTATGGATGTATGTCCAACTGGAGGTACGTCTACTGACAATAACGGCAGCTGACCTCATTTCTCGTAAGGTACAATTCTCGTAACTTATGTTGCTTGGTCTTTTACAATAATGAATTATAATATTTTAAGCACTAATGTTAAGGGAAGCCATTCAATTAAGCAACCACGGTTACCATGTGAATTACAACTCGTAGCATGCCTGACATACTCGAGAACGTATTGTCTACACCAGGAGTTCCCAAACTTATTTCGTCTGGTCTGCCCACTTTGAGAATAAATTATTTCATTGCGCTCCCATTTTTTCAACCTACTTTAAAACCACTATAACTTCATATTAAATTAATTATTAGAAGCTATATTAGCGAAGATAAAACATTCATTCTAAAAGGGACTTTTAAAAGGAACGACAGATTGACGTGATTATAATTTTATTTATTAAATAAATTCAATAAAACGGGACAGATTAAACGTATATAAAGACGGAAAGAAATATGGAACCGAGTTAGTTTGAGCAATCTCAATTAATATTAGTTTATGTTGACAAGTTGTAGCCGAGAGTCGAGAGCTCAGTCGGTGTCGAAGAGTACTCCAAGAGTTTACAAATCGTCCCTATTTTTGTGGATCTCATAAGGCCCCCCAAAAAACCTACAGCCCACAAGGGGACGTTATTGCTCGCTTTGGAAAAGGCTGGTCTACACCCAAATGCAATTCAAATGTCTTACTTTTTCGTGCTCTCATATAATATCTCACTCTCGACTGGTGAAAAGTAACAGTGAAACAGTGAAGTTACACTCACGACTCGAAGATAGACATTTAGTGTAGCCAAAGCGTTTCTCGAGTCTGTCATGCGATGCGTGCATAACTATTTGAACATTATGTTTCGACTTTAAAATGAAACCAGAATTAAAAAATTTGACTAATCAGGATCGTTCTAGGATTGCACAGATCAATCCTAATTGGTCAGCTGCTGTCATAAACTTACATTGCTGATGTCACAGGTATTGAAAAACACGGTGGTGGATGCATCGGATAGACATCTGAAATATGAACATTGTTATATTACATATACATTATATGAACATACATTGAATTTTGTTTATTTATGCTCTTCGATCAACATTACTTTATGTGAGAATTTCTGAAACATTTTAAACATAACCGTGAAAGTAAAAGTATGAAAGTTAAGCAACTTTCACTAAGTCCTGTCATAGGATGGGTGACCAGTGTATTATTTCGAGCATCTCTCTTCTTCGGAAGATATGTCAAACCGTTGATCCCTGCTACATCTGCAGTCGTTAACACCCACCAATCCACAATGAGCCCCTGTAGCATGGTCCATTCTATCTATTCTATTTCATTCCATCTATAAGTAAGGTTTATACCCCAGCAGTAAAGATATTAATAGACTGGTGATGAAGAACTGTAATAGATTTAGGCTTAAATTGATAAGAGAGGACTTTTGCAATAACCGATGTGATGTCTACTGTACATAAAACAATATCAGCTCACCCACACCACAGCTTTGGGAGCAATACAGATGTCCGGTGTTCCAATACCTTACTCCATTACTACCACATATTGGGTCATACTGATTTGTTTTTGGACATTCTCTTATACACTCTTCATCCACTGAAGAATATCTATAAAAAAAGGTTGAAACTCAGTATGAATTTTATCTGTCAAATGCTAAACTTTAAAATACCCAGATTTGTAACGGCTGTACTAGGTAGTTATCTTTTGGAATACTCATATGGATTTTTTTCACTATGGTTTGTCTAATTAATATTTTGTTACTTTGTAGCTTTCCGCCGTGTGGTCCTACATTATACTTAAAAATCTTCTCATTTAAGCACTCTCTATATCGATGAAACCTCATTAAAATCCATTGTATATTTTAAAAGTTCTCAGCGTGGAAATAGTGTTGGGCGGGATACGTTAGCCGAAGGACAGATGAAAGATGGAGTCGTGAAGTATTGCAGACCAAGGACGGGAAAAAGAAATGTCGGTCGACAACCAGCAAAATGGGCAGATGATATTACATGACCGTCCGAGAAAAACTGGATGCACAATATAGAAAAAAAATGGCATATGAATGAGGGGCCCATATTCAACTAAGGGATATGGAATGCTGATAAAGAAATATTAATGAATGAAAGTGTAAATAAAAATAAACTTATTCTTATTGAAAAATGCTTAAAAATTCTGGTTATAAGAGATGGATCTCAGAGTACCAAGGAAAAGGTGAATTTTTTAAACATTATTAATTAATAATATTTTCCAGTATAGCATTGTGAATGCAAAATTGTTCAATATAAGAAATAACTTACTTCGACAGAAGATCTTTCGTTGAAGGTTTTCCAAAAGACTCACAAGAAGCTGCAAAAAAAGCAAATTATAACATATCGACATTTTGCCTTATATTTAATGCTAAGCAAATGTGATAATGGGATAAATTAATAACCGTTATTTACTGTACTTAAACAAAATGAACGAGTGATATGTTGCATCATATTAAAAAATCTGATTATCATACCTATAATTAGAAATAGCAGAATTTTCTTCATTTTATTATATTACGCACTGAAATAAAGAAAAAAATAACTAGAAAATGCCCTAGGCAAAACCGCACAGTGTTACACGTTAACATAAACTGTTACTGTTCATATTTGTTTTATGGTAACTGCTAAATACTCATAATAACGTCAGAAAACAACTACATCATCGTCGTTGTCATCTTTATATAAGATATACACACATTACAGCGTAATAAAATATATATTTTAAGTATACAATAACTGTCTTACTAAAGTTGTACAAATTTAACATTAGCTGTTTTTCCGCGATCTCGCCCGCGTAATAATAAAACCTATATCACCCGTGTATAAACTAGCTTCTTAGCATCTGGGTGATTCTTGGGAAATGTGTTCTCCGTGTAATTTCCAGGGCATTTTTGAAATCGCAAAATTATGGTGAATTATATAAATATTTCGAAAACTTCTGCAAATTTAAACAACATATTAAAATTGGCCACGACTGAGATCTATACTTTTGCTAAAAAAAATGTAGAAAATTGGCGGACCATGGAAATTACATTATAGGCAATGGAAATTACACAGCAGATAAAATTTTGCTAAACACCATGTCATATATGAAATTAAGCTGTCATATTAGTTAGGGTAGTATTAAGATCTGCCTTCATTATACTGAAACGATATACCATAGTACTTACTCAAAATTGGAACGAAACCTAAACACGTTCATGTTCTCAAAAAACAAAATATATACAACGTGTTATGGAAATAGCGCAAAACCTCTCAGGTGGTAGCTCAGCCCATGAAACTGAACAACTTTCACTATGAGACCAACATTGAAATTTCAGCATCTGGCAAATTTTTCGAAGTAACGTTACATCGGACAAACAAAAGTCGGGCGTCGAAGTAAGATATTCGATGTATTGAAACTTCGAACAATGAACGCTTCGACGTACTCGTATAGTTGTCGATGTATCAATTATCGAAGAAACGTGTTTCGAAGTGACATAGAGAACCCTTTTTCGAAATGGTTATTTATTTTGTCAATTATCTTATAAAATACGCATCCTACGTCAAATATCAGTAATTAATTTATTGTAAATTTAATTGGCTTTCATTTAACACCAAATTGGTACCTGTAGGGCCAGTGGTTTTCTCAAAAACGATAGATAGCGAACACCGGTCATAAGTAGATATTAGGAGGTTATTTCAGTCAAGATAACCCCCTTGGCTATCTATCGTTTTTGAGAAAACCATTGGCCCTACAGGTACCAATTTAGTGTTTAATCAAAGTAAATTTTTACAATAAATAAATTAATTATATAATATGTTAACTTAATCCGGTGTAAAAAATGTCCTTGTGACCCTGTTAACTTCAAACAGACGACAGCGAAAGACAGATGTTTTAAAATTGAATCTGTTTAATCACGATTTGAGAATTTGAAGATGATGATCAAAGTTTTAAATGATATTTAAGACGATTTAATTTAAAAAATAACCAACATTCAACATTTAAGTCTGTATTTGGCGATGGCGTGCATTTCATTGAAAACAAACATTGAACATAACGTTTGTTTTTTTGCAACCAAAAAGAAACAAGGTAATTTCCATGGGTGATACGTAATTTCCATGAGTGATACGTAATTATCCATGGTGTTTTACTCCATGGAAATTAACAAAAAACATATATTTTGAAATTACTCTTCATTGAAAAGATATAACCGGCTAGTTTTTTACTGTTTATCTACATTATAGAGCTAGGTATTTCACCTTAAAACCCATTTTCTAGAAGAAGTACAATTATATTGAAAAAATGTGACACGGCAAAGCCGGATAACTGAGAACCAAAATTTAAGAAATTGAAGAACTTATTCTAGCAGCGAAAGCGCGGGAAACAGCGACGTGGCCACCTCACCTGACTAGCTGCGGCGTAAATGACGATTCGCAAACACCAATCGGGGTTCGCCTACGCCTCTGCCAGCTCAGAGCAGTATCTCGCGCAAGGCGCGCCGCGAAAATTTTGCTAAGCGTGTGACACGTATACTTCTGACCATAAAATCAAAAGTTTCCTTCCGATTAATTTGAAATTTGATCAATATGTAAACCGATTTGTCTTTTTTAAATGTGTGTAACAAACTGATTAAAAACGTGGGTAATTTCAAAAATATTTGCGATTGCTCAAAAGTCGGCGCGCGTGTGACACGGTAAAAACGTGCAAAATTGACCGGATTTGAGGTGTTGAGGGTAAGTTACTCCGATCTACGTCGTTTTTTATCCGTGAAATCTATATGACACGATGCTTAATGAAATGAAGAAACGATGTAATAGTAGTTTTTATCATAATAATTTATTTTTATAGGAGATATGTTCCCTGTGACACTCAAAAATTGCTTTTCCAAGAAGTACCCATCTACATAACATCATCGATCGTAGATTTCAACTTTGACTGCTATCTAATGAAACGTCAACAGTTTTGTCTACTCTTAACATAACGTTAACGTTGTAGTATATTTGGTTGGGGGAAAAGTCTTTTTGCATATAGTATACATAAACTTGTAATTAAATCTTTCTGGCTATACCATTCGTATCTGGCTGGTTTCGGTATCATTAAAAAGTTTAAATTTTAAAAAAGATAACTCCAAATTCAAATTAGGAATTTTGATGTCAAAGATGCACGTCGGTCCGGTCGCCCTGTTACGGTTTGCGAAACTCGCAATAAGTAAAGGCTGTGTCTATGATGCGATTGGAAGAGCATTATTCATTATGAGCTGTTACCACCAGCCAGGACAATCGATTCTGAACTCTCCTGCTAACAACTAATAAGGTTAAAACAAGAAATTAAAAGAAAGCGGCTTAAATTAATCAATAGAATTTTTTATGTTGATAACGCTAGAGCTCACACATTTTCCGCCACTCAGCAAAATTTAAGAGAGTTTGACTTGGAGATGTTAATGTTTTTGATCAGAACCCCTAAAATATCTATAGTCCCTATCTTCAAGATGGCAAAAAGGTACTTTAGTAAAATGTTCATAAACTTTATTAAAAGACGTTATGAATTGTTATATTTTAGAAATCTTATTCTCGACCCGAGAATGGTGTAGGCAAACCTTTCTCCAGTACGTCAAACGCGTACTGAGCCTCCTAGACTTGCTAAACTGGCTCCCTAGAAATTTCCAAAATTGAACACTTTATATATAAATTGTTTCTAGATTGTGCAACTTTTTTTTATTAAATAGATCTTTGAGATCTATTTAAAATTCAAAAAATCCTGAGATTTCCTGAGACTTGCAAAATCCGACTGCAATTCTGGTAAGAGGTAACACATGACTTTTTAATATTCGAAAGCATCAAAGCTTCTACAAAATATCATAATGACATCATAAACTTAACAATAACAATAATTAATTATTATTATTATTTTCTTACCAAAAAAATAAGAACATATATGAATTTCTCACCACTAAATGTGCCGCCCTAAAATTTGTCTTTAAATCACAATCTATAATGACCTGTTCATACTAAGGACCTTGCTTATAAATGTTTCTTACAAACCGAGATCCTGTTAAAACATACCGCCGTAAATACTAGGACTGTATTACCTTTTCCTTGTGATATATAAGAATGAGTAAGTCAACTTATATAAATTTGAAACTGTTACTTGTATATGTATCTAAATATAGCCACAGATAATTGTGTTCTACATTTACTTATGTAATTTCATAGAATTTGTGAGTAACGCATTTCCGTGGGCATTGTTGTGAAAGAAATAATAAAACATATCAGTTTTAATATACTGTCTTAAACATATGCCATTTTATCATTATATTCACTTATTCATTCATTTAATCAAGTTAACATATATAATAATAAAAAATATATATAATAAAGAAATAAATCAATCAGTTGTTTTAAATATCGTTGCCGAAGTGCCACTAAAATCTTGTAGGTAATTTTAATATAATACCTACTCACTATATTATAAAATTTATCATAGCGGATGTATTTAATCATACTATGAACCAGTAACCATCATACTAAGCAAAACCAGATAATTATACAATGTAAATAAAGGCGAAAGTTTATTGGTTTGGATGTTTGTTACTCCTTCACGCAAAAAATACTGAACGATGCGTTTTTTGGAAACTTGGATAGTCCTAAACCCGTTTTCACTAACCTAGAACAAGGTATAGCTTAACTAGGAAACGCCTAATCTTACGCATCGTCTAAGCAGATTTGTTTAATTCCAAATAAACATATTTTCTTTTATCCCTTGACACATTTGTTATTTCTCATATTACGTAAATGCCTAGCGCAAGGCACAACATATGGCATGTCATAACTTAAGACAATACTTACACCCGTTTCCACTCACCTAAAGTAAGGCATAGCTTAACTAGGAATCGCCTAACCTTACGAATCGCCTAAGCAAATTTGTTGAATTCCAAATAAACATTTTTCTTTTATCTGTAGACACAATTTTGACTTGTCATATTAGACAAATGATAAGCACAAGGTGCTGCATGACGCATGTTATAACTTTAAGCATTACCTAATGTCGTTAGGTGATTCCTAGTTATTTATGAAATGCGTTTTCATCTTAGGCGATTTCTAAATATTTAGGCGTCCCCTAAGTTCGGTAAACATGGGCAATAGACTACTTTTTATCTCACTTAAAGGGGCGAATCCACTGGCGAGGAACTAGTACAATATAATTTTAAAAGTTTAAACTTCTTACGCATCTATACTAATATTATAAAAAGAAAGATTTTTATTTTTTGTTTTTTTTTTAACAGGCTCCGTAACTACTGGACCTGTTTTAAAGAAGCTACATCATACATGTAGCTTCTTGTAGGGTGACATAGGCTATTATTTACGCGGAAAAACAACTAGTATTTTTGAATACAATATAGCTACTACTAAATCCTATAGTTACAGCTTTATTTTTACATCAGATTAGGGATGTTGTATAAAATTTTAATTTTTCTGTCCGTAGGGTGAATTATTGAAAATTATAACATAATAAACACGTTTTTTTTTTTGCGCTACCAATAAATAACGGCGATCCATTGAGTTAAGGTGTTACACGAGGCCATGCTTTTGTACATTTTCTACAAAGCTGTGAGTTGACGTAGCGATCCCGACTTCTCAACTTTAATGCCTGTCTTCGAAACTATTTCTTGTTAATACTTTTCTATTGTTTGGTTGACGGACTAAATTTTGTTTTTATCCACACATCCCTTTTCTGATGCGTGAATACATCATAGGGGAAATAAATATTAAGTTATCCCTACATTTATGTTTGTTCGACTTTGTTAAAAATACCTATAAATAAATTGACATTGCTTGTTCTACTTCTAAACTGATAATTAATATAATTCGCAAGTAAATCCGGTAATACTACTTGGTAAAACCTTCTTGGGAATTTATAACGGATCTCGATTGATCAATAATAAAACGCGAATAGTTGATTTGTCAATCATGTCATACATTTTCACATTAAAATTCAAACCAGATCACTGCGAGTTCAATTGCTAAACTTAGTGCACCGCTTTTTATCAGAAAATATGAAGTACCTACAAAAACTGTTTGATCATTAACGAATAGAAAATCAATCTCAATTGTTTTTATATCGTCTTATAAAGATCCGTTTTCGTGAATGAATTTATGTAGAGACATTATAATAACATTAATTGTTCAAATTGTAATACATGACTTTTGGTAAGTTTTTATACAAATTGTAGGTATTAACATACAATCCTCGAAATAAACAATTCTAATTTTCTCGATGACGTGATAGACCTGTATAGGCTAATGTACTCTAGATTCATTATTTTATAGACCTCAAAGATTTTCCACTTATAATATTAGATAATCTAAGATTTTCCATAGTACAAGGGCATCAGCGCCAGCCCAATAGCAAAACTTGGCAACCTAGGCAAAACACTGGAACGACCCCCAAAAATTACCTAAAACCACAACAAAATATGACTAAAGTAGATATACCAATTAAAGAATGTAATCTGGCCAATGACAACAGACACTCCTAATATTTTTAATAGAACCGATATTAAAATTTTACACTTCTGAATACCACGGAAGGCTGTGACTTATGAAAATGATCAAGTTAGGCTCGAATTTATATCGAGCATAATTGTTCAAACTTTTATTAAATATCTTAGTTCAATATATTAAACTAGATGGCGCTATACAAACAGTGAGACAAACATTTGACATTTATCTAAAAATTCACATTCTATAATATGGTATTGGTGACAGAGTAAGACCAGTGAATCAGCTTAGCAATATCTACAGAGTACGAACATTGATGATCTTCTGTAAAAATAAAAGCAAATCTTATTTCCGATTTGCATTCTCTATACAACAGGGGAAAAAGCAGTCTTTACTGACTTTCTCCTTTAACTTAAAAACCCCCATCATAGATTTGTAAACAGATGGCATAGCTATCGACTTTCACTAGTGTTACAAACAGCCTAGATTGAATAAATAATATTGCATTAAATTAAAGTGCATTTTTTAAATTTAAATCGCACGTATTTGTATTGGTACTTGTAGTTTAATAAATAACATATAATGCACAAACGATAACGAAATCTCTAACTAAACAGGATACAGATTTCTGTACATTGCAAAACAGGATAAACGACAAAGTACAATTGACAAACAAGTATTATTCAACAAATTATCTTTCTAAGTACACTACTTAATTATGACTTTAATTAATTGGAATTAGAAATAAAAAGCATTTTATCGGGTAGCGAAAGAATAGCTGCTCTCATTTGAAAGTCGGTTGGTTATCTATTTGACCACTGGAGGTTATCAGTGCCACCATCCCCTCCCGGCACAGCCGCTCACGATGCAGCAGTATATCGATAACACTACAATAAACAACTCGTTTTACAACAATTGGAATAAACGAAATAATAAGACGAAAACGCTAATCGATTCTTTAAGGAGGTTTTGATATTTTGTTATTAACTTTAGTGAGTGTGGTGTCATTAAAATTTCGATTACGAAGAATTGGAAATGCTAAGCGGGAAGATCATTCTGTGCGTAGTTTTATTTGCTGGTGAGTTGAACTTTATGTTTAAATTATAGTGATGTTAAAGTGAAATCGACAAAGTCAATAGTAACAAGGATGCACTTCAGGTTGCCATTATATCTCAAATTTCTACAGTTGATTTTAAACTCTACCCTAAAAGCATTAAAGTTTAAAATCAAGCGGGAAAATTTAACATGTCTGTATAACCTGATCCTGTTGCCTGTACTCGAAGTCAAAATTTTCAAATTTAATGTTATAATCCCGCAAAGAGTGAAATACTTGTATGATAAACATGAATGTCGACTCAGTTTCATAGCCACAAATTGTTTGGAATTGGATAATATATTTTAGATAAAGTAAAATCTAAGTATACTAACAAAACGAAATAGAGAATGGTTGCAATATATGGTTTATACCTATCAGTATGGGATTTGAGTAGGAGTCAACTGACTACCTCCCTCGAGTCATACTCGAGCTTTCGAGTAACTTGAGTAAAAAAAAATCAAACGTGCTACTCGAGGGTAATTTTAAACAAATACATAGATAATAACAAAAAATACACATTAAAATAGTTTTGACATATTATTTATTTAATTTAATAAATTAGAGTAGCGAAGTGACATCTATTATCAAGAGAATCAACTCGATGCACCGAGTTGAATCGATAACTCGAGTGCATAGAGACTCGAGTGATATTTTTTCATTCGAGTACGAGTTTGAAAAATTCACTCGAGTGACTCGAGTAAGACAAAAGAATAACATTAACTGAACCGTATGAGTTATTTTATAATGCTCTTAAAACAAAACTTAATTATATTAAGAGCAAAAATTGAGATTTAGGTATTAAGATGTTCTTTATATTCGTATTTAACGATATAAGTTTAAGAGATAAGTAATTATTTTGACAAACTCAAGTTATTGCTAACTTAAAACATTAACAGTATTTTGAGTTAGTCATACAAAACTTATAAAAGGTTAAAGAAGTAGATATTACTTATTAACTGTGACTCTTTCCGCATATACCGTATGAAATATGATATGACGATTACTTTAAAAGTGTATAGCTTAACCACAGCAGTATCTTATTTACCACAACCACACGTCTGGTTGAAGAATCTTTAATAAGTTGTGTAACAGTTATAAACTCACAACACAGTTTGCTTTTAATTGATATTTAAATATAAAATTCTTAAACTATATTTTCTTTAATTCTTTTTTTTATATATATATAAGCATAATAATAATCTGCATTATATTTCTATAAAGTTTTATTATCTTATATAGTGCCAAATCATCAAGTAGATACCTAATCAAAGTCTTATAAGACCTATATATATTATAATTACAAGCTGTAGCCGTAGCTGCAGCTTTTAGAAATGCGTAAATGCAGAATTCTATGTATTAAATTATTTTCTAAAGTCTTGTTTCAATTTAATTTAAGAGAAAAGCTGTTGCTAATATGCTTGTATGCAATAAGCGAATTAACCTTTTACTATACATGTATCTATACTAATATTATAAAGAGAGAAGATTTGATTATTTAAAATAGGCTTCAAAACTACTGGACTGAACCTATTTTAAAAATTCTTTCACCTACATCATATGCAGTGGACATAGACTAGATTTTATCTTGAAAAACAGCAAATAAAGTGTAATAATTGTTAACTATTCAATTTTTTTGTTGTAATTATATCCATGTCATGATATGAACGGATTTCACAATTAATTATTAAACTAATATATTTAAGCTGTAATTAAATAATCTTACTAATATCGTCCTATTAATATTAAAGATGTGATAGTTTCTTTGTTTGGATGTTTAGATTTTTGGATGTTTGTCCGTCAATCACGCCGAAACTACTGAACGGATTTTGATGAAATTTGGTATACAGATAGGGTGTGAGCTGACTTAGATAATAGGATACTTTTTATCCCAGTAAACATTTCCCTAGGGTCCACGCGAGCGAAGACGCTGGCGAAAGCTAGTAATATTATAAAAGCGAAAGTTTGGATGTTTGTTACTTCTTCATGCAAAAACTGCTGAACATTTGGTATACCGATAATTCTAAGACTGCTACTTTTTATCCCGCTAAACAGTTTCATAGAGACCATGCGGGCGCAACCGCTGACGGAAAGCTAGTATAGCTACATAATTATAATAAACTTCGTTATTGATATTTAGCACAATAACCATTCTCCTTAATGATTCATATCAAAGAAAGATACTACAATACTTCATTGACATGATATGGTACGGTAGTATTCATAATAATTTTGAATGTTGTCATTAGATAATCTGACCTGATCACATTATGCTTCACCTAAATTGTCTAAACACTGATTTTTATCTTCGTTTTACTGATTTTTCTTTTAATTTCGTCATCATCATCACCAACCTATTGATGTCCCCACTTCTGGGGCTAAGGCCTTCCATAAGGATGGAATTGAATTGACTTGGGTAGAGACAATGGGCCATGACTAGGGGATATCCGGGATACCCTGGATCCTGGACTTCCTGATCCCGGGATCCCGGCCCTTTCACAGTCCCGAAATCTTAGGGATTTAATTCCTTAAACCCCGGGATTTTCGAAATAAAAAAATTAAGTTTATTTTTCAAAAAAGCATTGCATAAACGAAACGCACTTAGTTTACCTGCCAATTTATCGAGTAATCAATGCCAATAAAAAAGTCAGCTATTTTGATTTCTTGAAGTATAGAAAGTTAATATTATTACTACTACGTACGAGAAATGAGTCTAACTAATTAATATTTATGACTTATTGATATTTTAAAAAATAGGATTGATTAATGACTGACTAATATTAAAGAAATGTAAAAGGTTTATTGTTATAGTGACGCAATTGCAAAGCAAACGAGACTGACTGATTTAGAAATAGAAATGAAACTGGTTAATAATTTACTATCTGATAAGTACCTACTTACTAAGTATTTGTTTTAATGTGAAACTTATTGTTAACCTTGTGTTACACAAGTTGATTTTTTACATTTTAATTTGTTTGTTTTTTGTTTAGAAGAGAAAACTCTTTGTTCAGAGTTTTTCCATTTCTAAAGAAAGTTTAAATATAAAAAAAAATGTTTTGCATATTTTCGCATTTTTGTATGCTACCATCAAATCCCGTGACTGTCCCGGGATACCGGGCTTGTCTTTGCCCAGTACCGGGATTGTAATAAAGGCCCGGGATTATATCTCCTAGCTATGACCAACCACGCAGGTCCAATGCGGATTAGTGGATGTAATAACGACAAATGCAGATGATACCTAAAGCTTAACAGGCCTTCCGAATCACGGAGGGGCTCCAGATAATGAAATTTCGGTCCCATGAAAGAGTTGCTTTATTTCGGCATCGGAAATCAAACGCGCAAATAAATGCAATCGACCTCCTTTATTGTTCTCCCTTTTGTTATTGCCTTTACTAAAACATTGTTTATGAAAAGAGTACCTATGTATGGACTTTGTAAGTTGTTAATATCGGAGCACCGGATACAATAGTACACTGGACTCATTACATATTAGCATACATTAACGGATATTATTCCGTTATATTAAAACAAGCTGTTCGTATAGGTTTGAAATTTGAACTTTTGCAATGTCCGATCATAGACCTCAGTGCTTTAGAAAGCATATTAAACCGCTGGTTACTGTACCTGCATGGTGGGTTATGGTTCGTCATCTCTTGATTTAATGCGGTAGTTCTGTATCTCAGTAACACGATACCAAGCATAGGAGAGTAGTCGGAATGGCACTATTCCCGCTAATTTCAGTTTAGCGGGAATAGTGCCATTCCTACTACTCTCCTACTCGCTCTAGTTCGCAAATGGTTCCAAAGTCGGTCTCACTAAAGGATGTGATCTATACGAAACGATATAACTATGAGTATTGTGACTATTTTTTCTTTGTACCATAACGGTACAGCTTTTTTTAACAAGACAGAGGGGTGTTGACAATCATCATATCTGTGACTAAATTTACAGAATGCAGTATGGAGTTACATGTTATATCCCAATGCTTTTCGGTATATAAGGTTCCAAATAACCCCAAATTAACTTTACATAGACAGCCGATACACTCTTGTTATCGTCCCCTCTGCGTGAGTGAGTTTGTGTCCAACAAAATTTTCTCTATTTCGAAAACTGGACACTTTTGCGTCGCAGGATTTGCCTCGGGGACGCCGATACAGACAACCAAAAAAGAAAAGTCCATCTCATAACGAGACGACTGATCACGTTATGCATAACCCAACTTAGCTAATTTTCTCTTCGTGGTTAAATTCTTTTTCAGAGTAAGTTTATTATATTTTTGAGTAACTGCGTGTAATTTTGAGAATGGTTTGACAGCTGATACAAACATTATTTAAAAATGTCTTTGATGCCCTGCTCTATGTCCTATAACACACCATCATCTGTCTAATTTTATTTAAATATCACATTTTCGCTCACTCTTGATTGTACAGCTTGCAAGTAAACAGACCCACAGCGCGCGGTTCTGTTTCATATATTTAGTATGTAACTGTTTATTATTAGTCCAACTTCACGAACAAATGTATGAAAACTAATATAACTAAATATGGCTGTCGTTTCAGGTGACGCTCTGCTCACTCATTTGCACCACTGTAACTTAAAGCCAAATGACAGTTTTAAGTCAATCGTTGATATTTGAACCAACTTGGCCAATTATGAAAAGATGTAATAGCACAATAAAAAAATTTGTAAAATAAAAACGAAACGTAAGTAAAAATTAAGCTCATGAATTTTCTTTCAAAGATATGTCATTTATTTTTGCAAATATTTTGTATTTTACTTTGCCCTCTGATTAAAATAAAGATGACCACCTAACAAAGCAAAATCAAATGACACATACGCATGGCACAACTAGTGTGGCATAGATCATTTTGCATCTTGAACCAAGGGTTATCTCTACACGCCCACTGCCCGATGTATTTATTAATAGGCGTGAGTAACCGTACGGACAGACACTCGGACGTCAATACATGCGCTTACGCACCAAT